CGGCCGGGGATCGAACCCTGGACCATGTGCATGGTTGGCGAGCGTCCTAACCGCTATACCACCGACGCACCCTACTCAACTAAATTACCACAGCCAAATGGTCATCGTACCTCTTATAACGACAGAAACTACTGTTTCTTTTACTTGTTTCTTCATCTTTATTTCACCCAGTTAATAATTCCTTAAAATCCTCGTTTGTCTGTATCTTTTTTCCTTACTGAATATCATTATTATCTACTTATCATTCCTTTACTTTCCGGTTGAAACACAGAGCATCAAAGTCGCTTCTTCACTTCAGTCCTTTTAATCTGGTTCCACGATTGCCGAAAGCCTCTCACCCCATCCTCCATCAACCAACTAGTTATTTTCCACTCGAGGGCCTCTCAACGGTCCCCTCAGCGTGATGTTACCTAACAGCTGCCCACGAATATGATATGCAATTCGTATGTTGTGGCACTACACACATTCTTAAGATTACGTCTGAAGTTCATTTGGACATCCAGAAAGTTTGAATAGAACCCTAAAAGGCTTCTATATAAGATTCTTACAACAGACGTCCGAATAAGTACGTCATTTGCCAGCTAGGAAAGCGTCTTTAATGTACGCTCTCAAAGAGGAAGTACTAGAAACCATATATGTGAATTAGCATAACGAATTCCATAATCACTAAGATGTAACCACATTAGCTTAAGAAAGATTAGGTCCCATAAGATGTCGCAAATATTTCAAAATTCATTTTTGAAGACGGGACCGGATAACGCGTTGGCTGCTGGTGCAGTGGTGATATATGAACTCCGTCCTGGTATACAGAACACAATCAGATTTACCTCAGCAAAATATTTGCATTTACCGATTTCAGGATTGTCTTAGGTTGGTACACATCGTGAAACCTCTATTCAAAGGACACTAATGTAGAGTAACGGAGCAACTAGCTATTACAAATGTTCGAAACTATCTGCCGTTAAGGGGTGATTAGCGATTTCGCCACTCACCTTTAATTTCGTTATTGACAGATTTTTTTAATAGCGTTGGTTGCCTCTGACAGTGTAGATCCACTACTCGGAAGAACCCGTAGAACCCTAGAGCCTGAACTAATGAGCCACAAGTCCACTTATTTTGTACAGAGTTGATGAGCACTTCTCCATTATTTTTTTCCCGGTTTACAGCTACCATCCTCGAAAACAGCTACATCTATCAGTGCACGTTCACTTTGCTAATTTAATTTGTATGTTTCTGTGTAATAAACATGGGTGAACTGTTTCTGACAACATTCAGGAGACTACGGCAAATATCCGGCAAAAATATGATTCTCCCAAAGCACTAGAAAAAAATAATGACCTATTCAAACAATTAGTGCTCAGTATCATACTTGTATCGCTAAAAAAGTAGATTATAATGGCAAACTTAAGGATAATACAATTTTTAAAAAAGGTCGTAATTTAAAAACACGATTTAATCGAGGGAGCAAATACATATTTTCCATGGAAAAGAATCAAATCAATTACTTCTTTTCAAGTATTGGTTTTGTAGGGATTTTGTTTGATTGGATGGAGGATTTCATCATGAGTTGAAACCAGTCAGAGAACAACTGGAAAACCTAGGATTACTGGACAGCTGTTTCATCCTAGTTTGGGACTCTTCGGCTGTACGCACCACCGGGGTTCGAACCCAGGACCTTCTGTTCAAAAGGCAAGCTCGTAGACCATTGAGCCAATGAGACCCGACCCAGTGGCCCATGAATTCCAACTTCTGCCAATTCACGGCACAGCACAACCATTTCGCAATGTCTTCTTTGATGAGTTACTGCCTCATCTTCAACCTGCTGTACCCTACTGGTCACGGCTCCCCACTAGAACCCCAGGTCACTGCCTGAATAGGACCAGTCACGTTGTAACTATGACTATTAACTATGTGTGACTATTAATATTTTATTATATAATTGTAAGGCTTGATGAGGATTTACGGAAAATACGTACTTGCTTATTAGCATTTTATTACAGTTCACAATTTAACTTCATTTTATCATTACAGTTGATATCTGCCAGTTCTTGAACTTAAACTTAGTATTTTCCATTTGTTGGTATTTGTTTGTGTGTATTTTTTGGTAATCATATTTTTCTCACACCACTGAATGACTGACTGGTTTCAACATAGAAAATTGCACCGATATGCAACAGTTTGAGTTGCCACACTCCATGTAGCACACAAAGCAAGGGAAAAAAGTAAGAAGAAATGCAAAACAGTTACAGTAAACAGAGATATGAAGCAAAAAGAATAGTAATACCGAAGAACAATATCGTTTTATTGAGTATTATAAGTCACAAGGAGTGGATGCATCTGCGCCATTGAGAACGATTTCGAGCCACCTCACCAATCGCCTCCAACCATTGGTGTTTGCGGTCCCGATGACTTCAACCAGTCAGTCAGACAGTCTACACCTGCCTACGTGGCTGGCTTAAACTAATTGTTGTGTTTATGGAAGTGTGTGTGCGGTTGTAAATTCCCGGCTGGCCACACCGTGAAAGCAGGTTATTTTAATTTTATTTATTTATTCAAACGCACAAAAGCTTGGTACAATATGGCACTAAGAAAGATGCGCCACACAATAATAATAAAACAACATAGATTAAAAGTAAAAATATAAGTAGAGAACAGATAAAGAACTTCATCTGGAAGGAAAACAGTCATACTTAACAAGTTCAAACAGTATTCATTAACTGTCATCGGGAAGGGAAGAAAGAAGAGAATTGCAACACGTTCGCCATTGATTAAGCTTCTTGGCCATATCCGATAACGTTTCGAGCCATTGATTCAAGCTATCTCGTGGACCCCAACCAGGGAGTTGTGGCACACCAACCGGTGCTAATCTAGCACACACATCCTTCATCCCACGACGCCACGCCATGGACTGACCACCCATCCGCCGTTTCCATCCCGTTCCAGGGTTAGCGAACAAAGACCTATGCGGAAGCCTCTGGGATGACACTCGCTGCACATGTCCAAGCCACCGGAGCCGGTGTTTCCAGATGACGACATTCGATGAATGGTGATCTCCACTGTTCACACACACGCCGCCGAACCTCAGAATTACTCACGCGATGATGCCATCGAACGCAAGCAATCCTGCGGAGACAGCGGTGATCGAACACGCAGAGTCGCCGCATATCCTCAGCTCGAAGAGGCCAGGTTTCACAGGGGTAGAGCAAGACAGCCCGCACCGAAGCATTGTATACCCAACCTTTGACAGCCAGGCTAACATCGCGACGGCGCCAGAGGTGGCCCAAGTTGATGTATGCCACCCTAGTCTTCATTATACGGTTGAAAATCTCAGCCGTCACCCCTTCGCCAGCACTCACACAACTACTCAGGTACACAAACTTATCAACAACGTCAAGCGGTTCACCTGCAAGATTGAGTGCAGGTACAGGCTCCTGCCAATCTTTTAACAGTACTTTGCACTTAGACGGTGAAAGCACATACCATACTTACAGACACTGATCGCCAACTGATTAAGTGCGATTTGGGAAGCCTGCATGCTATCGCACAGTCAGACGATATCGTCTGCATACTCGAGGTCGAAAAGTCTATCTCCAGGTAGCAGATATACACCACCTTCACGCACATCCTTCAGAGCTGACTCCAGAGTGTCACCGATGGCAAAGTTAAAGAGAAATGGAGAGGCTGGGCAACCCTGTCTAACCCCACTGTTGGTTGGGAACAGTGATGGTAGTTGGTTGTATGCCCTCACTCTACCCGAGGTGTTTCTGTGTAGGGCTTTCAAGATGTTAACAAATTGCTCAGGTACACCTCTCTCTAACAGACAGTTCCAGAGCACGGTTCTGTTCAACGAATCGACGAAGTCGGTTGATTCTTCGGGTACCTGGAACAGAAAGAGGGTTAGTGTTGCGTGACCGCAGAGCCCAGGAGACAACTGCTTGAGGCCGGTCACACACAGCCTGTATGAACTGGTTTCTCGGATTGGTTCTGTATTAGCAACTTACCGCCGGTTACAGAGCACCGTAGGGTAAGTCGGGAAGTACAAATATCGGGGTCAACCTTTTCTAACCCCTTCTCTGCAGAGTGGAGAGACAGCACAGTTGACATGCTGACCGTTTGAGGGAAACACATTACTGCTGTTACATCCCTGTTCCCCAGTAATACGAGTTCGCCCACGGATCCCAAGCATAGTGTTAAAAAAATTGTTACGCTATGCTGGTAACTGCTTTTAGTCTAATCGCTATCCTAAAAACGTTTCTGGCATAGTAGGACCCGAAGGAACATAATTTCCAGCCATTTTAGCTTGATGGGTTATTGCAATATGCAAGCCGGACCACCACGTCAAGGTAGTAGCTATCGATCGGGACACCACTGAATATAAACCACCACCCGCACGGTCATGAAGCTTATATCCTGTTGACTATAAGTAGAAGTATTGTTAATATGTCAAACTGTTGTATATCCGTACTTTATCGTAATATGATTGACAATACATGTTGTGTACATTCAATTGACGATATTAACTAACGGACTACCATTTCATCTCATTCATGTACCCCAATAGTTTTTTGATATAAATTTAATTTGCCTTTACTGGCTGTTAATATTCTGATAGTCATGGATTGATAAATATAAAGATAGAAGAAGTTATCGAAAACAACTGTTCACTCAAAATAATCTTGTTCTAATACCAATAAATTAAACTCATCTCAATCAACTTGAAAACCCTACTCTTTAGTAAGAGTAGGGTATAATACATACATACATATATTATTAACATTTTCTTCAAACAAACATTCACACACACACACACACAAAACCCATAAAGAAATCAAGTAAACAATCAGAAATTATTCAGGGTAAAAGTAAAAAAAATGACCAAAGTTATATAAAAAAGCAGCAGCACTGTTGAATTATTGTCTGTAAGCACTGATCACAGTGTGAAAGTAAGATTTCTGGTAAAGATAATGACTTTCTCCAAGGCAATTGAGTAGTTAACATTTTCAAAATATTTTTAATTCGGCTACTTGCTGGCACAGAGTAGGCAAATTCCACATCACCAAATTGCCATCACGTCCGATTGAACTTAGTTGTGAAGCCATTGACCTATCGCCTTTAAAAATTCGAATTTCGCTAGAAATTTTGGAAAAGGAAGGGTTAATAAATTTCTTAAAGTATATCGTGCACGTAATATCCACATCATGAAACTATGCACGATGTAATATGAACGGAAATACAATTCAGTCATAGAACAGTTATGCCACTAGAAATATCTGGTTCTTTATTAGTACTACGTTCCGCTTTTTCAACAGAGCCTCCTTTTATTGTTTCTGGTGTTACAAAAAACTGATGGCAAGTTCACCAATGTAAGCAAACCTCTAATATTGTAAATATAGAATGAAAAAGAAACCTGGATATAAACTTCTGACTTACACTGCTTTTTTATAGGTCAACATATGAGATTTATAGTAACCCATTCAATAGGTTAAAGAAAGCATATGACATGAATGACAGCAACTGAGTCTCTAAGGCAGTACTTTGCACAAAAGTGCAGAGGTTCAAGCCGCTACACTTCAGCACACGACACAATTTAGGAGAGGAAAATTCAGACAACAAAGAAATTACAACGAAAATGTATGGGAGGAAGAATCAGAATAGTCATGAGAATTCAGTGGATCTGGGAGTTAATAGAGTGAGTGAATCTCCATTATTGAGAACAACTCCCAGTCATGTCACCAACAGCCTCGAGTTACTGGTTGTTAGTGTCATGAGGACCCTGGTCAAGTAGTCCATACCAGCCTACGTGGTTCACTCAAGACAAGAGTTGTTGAAGACTTTATGAATTGAGACCACCTGTTTAGCTTGACCAATATTGAGCTTTTTCTACTTAATCGTACGTCGGCTTATATTGTTGGGTGAGGAAGGTGATGACTTGTTCTCCGTAAAACGTGTCCTAGCCATCTTCATCGACGTAGCTCCACAATCTAATCGATTGGTTTTCCTTCCTCATCTATCAATATACGCCAAACCTCAATGCAATCCACTATATTATTACACTGTAAGAATAAGATAGAACGCAAAGAGGTAGTCAGTCACTAATGAGTGTGAGAAGAGTATCCTAATACAGACATGAGATCTCTCTACTGGAATCGCATATTCCTTGATTGATCTTTCTAATCCTACAGACCAATGAAAGAAATGTCGAAGATTTTAATTGAAACTTCCCTGCTCTATTTTGGCCACTATTTCTTCATTTCTCGTATTGTTTTTTTTTGTACTTATCTTATTCTACTGACAAATGGTAACTTAAATTGACAGGCTACTGCATACGATGAGACGTATACATGTATTCCACGCTTTCCCTATCACACACAAACGATGCCCTACTACGGTAAATTTTCCAGCACAATCGCACTGGTAAACGAAAAACAATTATTTGAGTAAAATTTAGGCAAGACGATAAAAGCTGAACTTACTTAATACAATTTTGGTGGATTGTTGGTAAACGTGAACTAGTATTATCCGCTGTGGCCATACGATCGATATCCTGAAACTTCTTCATGGCTGTCAACTTCCCACCAAATCGTGATTCACCTTTGACATCCAACTGAAAAGAATCACAAGAAGGTACCCTTAACATAAAATGACACAAAATTGAATATCTGATACCAATGCAACTATAACATTCAGAGCAGATACAGTAAATAACTCAACCTTCAGTCAACTGTCAATAGATATTTAATGGAGTACAAAGATACATTCATGGAAAAAATTTCAAAACTTTCCTTCAGAGTAGTCAAATACTATCGATAACACCCATCTTTAACTATGTAGTACTTTAGGACTACTATGCATATTGATCTACTTGATTAATGAAGTATGCTCATAATTCTTATGGCTGTTTTGGAATTCAATTAGTTATATAATCAAGTCTTAATTTATGAGAAATATAGTGAGTACATATTCTGAATCTAAACTCTTCTACTTTCCTTTACTTCCCTAATGATAGTTTCCAAAGTACCGTTTCATAACATCGTGATAAACCAGATTCAATACACCTACTCATCATTAAAATTTCTGCATTATTTTACTTATGTAAACGTTGACTTTTGGGGGAAAAGAAATATGTGAAGAGAATAACAGCCAAACACAATACAAGCAAATAATACATGTTGATCTGTCAGTAGTAAAAAAGTTAACAACTATTCTCCTCCGTTGTTACTATCTCCAAAAGATAATGGTACAAAAGTAAAGGCCACAAAACGTTTCGATGAGCCTTTTCAATTATCTCACTTAAGACAAGCTATTATATAACACTGTTGGCTATTCGCAGCATATTTTAGGAAGCATATGGTTGGAAATCCTGTTGGCACGGAAACACAAACATCTGCACAACAGCGGATATGAACAATCTAATATTGCCAATAAATAACAGTAATCCATCCAGTGACCAATAATCTATGCATTTCAGATTTTTCATGTATATTTAAGAAGCAGTTCTATTTGCTTCAAACCACGAACGCATCGAGTTTGTCTTGTGAGTCGCTGATCAGCCCAACCATTGAGACAACTATAACTGTAACTCAATCTGTTCGTAATTTCGGCCTCACAAGCAAACACCAAGAGACTATTTCATAAGATATCACTTCGACCACTACTCAATTAGTGTCCTGAGCGTATGAGATAGGATACTTAATAAGTACACAGAAGTGTAAGCTTTATTCTTTGATTCGTATATGACATTGTAATATTTATCGTTTGTAATGATGACAATGGCCTAGAGTGAAAACAAACAAAATTCAAATAGACAAATTATTATGATGAAGTGTTTGAAATAAAATGAATTATCTATCCCATAAGTGATGGTTTATCCTAAAACCTATAGTAACTTTGGGAATTATCAACGTCAGGAAGCCTCTTAATTGCTTTTTTGGCGTCTTGGAAAAAGTAGCAAAACTAGCTTTTATGGAAATAGTCCACACAAAATCCAAGTACATTTAAGGAATTATAATAGTGGTATAACTTTATCATGGTTGCGCATTGAAAAGAGCGAATGTTACTGTTTCGTGTTCACCTATTCAGTTATTTTTTTGATAACTATTATAATTGAGTTTCAAGTCAGCATTATATACCTAGGCTTAAACCCAAGAGTATATACACTTTGTATACGACACTAGTGTTGGTTGCATTTTAATCTACGCATTTTTCCGAGGACGTGTACTCAGGCGTTACTGTTTTCTGCAACAAACAATTCACCTAAACCCAAGTTATTTTTGTTCGTCTGTTCTTTCTAACTTTCTCGTACCAACGTCAACCTGAACAGCTGCATGGATGCAACTCACACTTCCAACTTCATACAAGCAGGGAAATAGTAAATGAAAAGTTGCATGTGTGAAACGGCTTTCGGTTAATTATTCAACTAACTAGATTTCGAATAACAGAGAGGAAGTTAGTGCATGTCCGCGTAGATAACACTAAAAATGGTTAATGTTCACCTGGTGGATAGCCTCACAACCAGATTCTCCGAAATTGGACCGCCAGGGTACGTTCTCCTATTTTACACAACCTACGTAATGTTTGATTATGCACTGGGCAGATCAGATATCCTGTACACAGCAACAAATGATGATCATACATCATGGGGACAACTATGTTAAGATTATTCTAGCATTTTCGCGTTATTAGTTGTGTTGAGAAAGTGGGTGGGAGTCTAACTGAAGACGGGATAGTTTTCAGTAGTTTTAGACGTAAACTTTAGGTAGCTTGTTGGGAACTGTGTTTTGTTTGTTTGGTGTCAGTTTCGGAGGTTTTAAGATTAATCGTTAAAAACAGCTGTTATGGATATGGACAATTTCAATAGCATTTATTTCATTGCTAGTGGAAATTACCGCTATAAACCATAACATTGAATGCGAAAAATTTCGTCCATTCGTTAGAATTATAAATAACCTATTCAGTAAAGTTGGTGACAATGTGTTTAGTGTATTCAGCAATTGTGTGTACAGAAGTATGAATAAACTGGGTTTAAGATGATCTGTTTGGTTACACGTTGACGAATTGTGACGACATATGCTTTATCCTGAGCTTAAAATCGATAGTTCAGTTCGTAAAACCTGGGAAAATCCCAAATAGGCATCAAGGAGCAATTTTCATAAACGCATCACAGGTATTGCACCTCATTAAATTACCGGAATAATAGTAGTTATTAAGTTGAGTATGTTGAAAAACAGAATGATGTGGAATAATAGAACCTAGAGAGACTGAATAATAAACCACAATGAAGCTCAAATTATATGGGAAATGGTGATCATAAAAAATTAATAAGCATTAATAATTACAGAACATACTTGATGGATGAAAGTTATCGACTGATCACTATATCTAAATGCCATAGGACAGCAGTCATAGCCAGCCGCCACGAAGGTGGACGGTCCAATCCAAATGCAACTCACAAAAGGTAAAAAGTCAGTTCGAAGACGAGCAACAAAAGGTGTAGAACCTTTAGCATCATTAATGCTTGCATCAGCTACATATATTGTTGAATTGTGTTTCATCCAAGCTAGTTTACTTCCATCTGCTGAGAATGATACACTTAGTACCCAACCACCTAATTAAAAGCAAAATAAAACGTATGTGAAATCGGCAGGACCAGCTAGTGCCGAAAATCCCCAAAATGAAACAGTCTTCAAGAAATAAGGGCCTTAAGTAACTCAATGCAACAAACAGCTACGAGTAGTTCCGCCAGTCTACCTTTGCTTACAACTCAAATGCAAATGAATATGACAGTGAAATCGATCCGTCAACTCTAACCAAAATTAGGTTTGCCACATTGTTCGTCACGTATGCACATATTCTCGGACATATGACTGCCTCACCTTATCACAGAATTCAACTTCCTTCCAAAAGTTGAGCTACTATAATTGTACTAGTTAAAAATAATCTCCTTGATTATACATGTTGATGAAATACTATCTTTCGAATACGTTGAGTCCAAGTTAGACTCTAAACATTCATTCAATCAATGTCAAAGTTGGCACCACAGGACTCGCTTTTTACAACAGTGAGATGGGTTTTTGTCACTAATAGTGAATCGGTCACCGACGAAATCCAGGTCGATTTTAGAGTATGCATCCCGCAGCAACGAATCTAGACTGAAAAACTGAGTAATACTACAAGAAGCAACACAATAAGTGCGGTTCATTGCCGAGCACATGGTGGATATTTTTAGGGTCAATTTTAACAAGCTAACTAGGTGAGAAAGGTTGCCCTAATCGAGTTGGTTGAGCCCAGTTAACCCAGACTAAACAAAACCTAATGTAGGACTAGAATGGGAACGAATTAACGATTGTCAGACCGAAGCATGGCACCAATCCATTACAATCTTGACTGATCTGAACCATTTAAGTCAGTATAGACTGCTCGTTAATCTCTGTAGAATCTGTTGACCAAAAATAATTTAGCGCTTGCAATTATGTTCAAATTTCTCTACACATATTTAATACCTAGGGAGGGATATATTTAATAGACTTTTAGGTTGTACGTAGATGAGGAGAAACCAACCAGATAAATAATGGCTTCATACGACTCTGCACAAACATTTGTTTTCACTTTGAAGGGGAATAAGTGTACGAAGAACCATAGTGAGCAGAAGCTTGGATCTTTTTGCAATATATAGCCCACCCACTCACCCTTATCAATCTTCGAAATTCAGAACGTCTTTATTCACCTTGCTTCACTCATTGTTTTCCTATCCATATACTTATTCGCCATTATTCTATTTTTGAGGTATTTGAGTCAATGCACTCCTATGTTAATTTTATACTTGTATAAATACCCGATTAGTGCATTAAAGTACATTATCTGTCGGCTAGACTAAGTGTATAATGAGTGATTCTCCTCTGCAACCCATCTCCCAATCATACAAGAGTAAATATATGTTACTGGACGTGCAAAAGTAAAAAATTCAAGAAAATATTACCGAGAATAAAGTGTGTCAGTTGGTGTTAAACATTGTTTAGGTGGTAAATTAAAACCCAAGGTGGATATATATATATAACAGGAACGAAGTTACACTTCAGCCACCGACAAAACTCTAAACGACTTAATCTCCTAACGTCAGGTCTCTTTTCATTTCATACTATGAAAACGGACTTTATGAATACGAGGTCACAAATTTGCTGTCATTTACACAAACAAAAACAACTTATTAGAATATATCTATTTGAGACCATTTAGCGACTGGCACTATAATTATTTGTATTTCCAACCTATTCTCCCTCTTTATGGCTGATTACCTGGACTATTTCGATGCTAACAACCTATACATAAAGTACAATACAAAGACAAGGCCACCCTGCAATTATACTACGTGAAAGCTCACCTTCTCCATCGTAGTGGTCGAACAATACACTACCAAGAGGAGCATGTTTGCCCCACACTGAATCCGGAGGACCAGATTTTGTATAAGCTGAGAATATCCTTACATGGAAGTCACTTGATCCACAGGCAATAAGAACATTATTTGGGTGCCAATCAACGCAAAGCACAGTAGAGCGTATGGGCTTTTTTATCTTCTTGCTAAGCCACCAATTGTTCTCTTCATCAAAGCAGCATACAGCTAGAAGTCTAGAACCACTTCCAACTGCGAAACGATCTTCTAATGGAGACCATTTTACGCAAACTGCAGCTCTATCAATCTGCAAAACATTTCAACTAAAATTCAACGTTTTGTCGAGGAAACTTACCGAGAGAATAACCACAGTAGGCTTCCATTTGTCTCCTTGTTTATTCCACACATAAGCATTGCGGTCAGCGGAACAAGAAACAATCCTGTTAGTTTGTGGTGCCCAGTCTATGCTTGTAACTACAGCACTATGTTCCCGAAGAACGTCGATCACTTGATATCTCCCACTGGGAGATTTGGGAACACTCAGCAAATAAACGTCACTCGTATTAACGGAGAGAGCCAATTCCGTGCCGTCGCCATTAAAAGCATGACTAACGAGCGAATCGTTACCTAAATTATGCGACTGAGCCATTGTGGCGCAAAACACGGAATTTGCCGCGTCATCAAGAATTCAGTTCCAGCAACACATAATCAGAAATGAAAATTCCTATCAGTCTACATGTTACACAATTTTATCAAAAACTATTGACAAAAAAAATTTACCGAGCGAAATTTCCATTAACATACCGGATAAGTCCAGCCAGTAATACTGGGCTTCTTGTTGTATGCTGCTTTGATGAAGAGAACAGTTGGTGGTTTAGAGGTTGACGGAATTCTCTTACACAGCCTTCAACTTATTAGTTAGTCCAGAACGGGTTTTCTTAGGAGGCACAACAAAAGATTCGGTAGCTGTCGCTGTGCTAGTGACTTCATCGAGGTCTACACGATCTTCGGTTACTTGTGGATTATGGGGTACGTTGAGCTCTATGCTAATAGGATTACCCTCCAAGTAAGCCGGTTTCAAAGGGTCAATGCTGACGGTGTCCTCGCGGCCTTTTTTGTCCAAGACAAAGAATTTATCAGAACGTTTAATTACTTTGTAAGGTCCGTCGTATAGAGGTTCCAGTGGTCTGAGCACAGAGTCGCGACGAACAAATACATGTGAAGAAGTTTTTAAACACGGACGAACGAAAACATCAATGGACTGTGGACGAAGGGGAGCAGGTTTAACTGAACGCATTGCGTTTGTAAGCCTGCTGACGTATGAAGCGTGATCTACCACTGGTGGGAAGCTGGAGGGAGAAACAAATTCACCAGGCAGTCGTAGTGTCGTGCCATATTCTAGCTCGGCGCTAGTACAACCAACATCGGTTTTCAAGGCGTTTCGTATCCCTAGGAGAACTAACGGAAGGGATTCAGTTCAATGGGTGGTGTTTGCAGCTGACAGACCAGCTTTCAGCTGTCTGTGTAGACGTTCTACCATACCATTAGATTGAGGATGGTAGGCTGTTGTTCGAAATCGCATGCAACCTATGATTTTAGTCAGGGCGAAGAATAAGCCACTTTCGAATTGCCGCCCGCTATCAGTTGTTATGGAAGATGGGCATCCGAAGTTAGCGATCCATCTTTCTACAAAGACGCGTGCGACTGTTTCAGCAGATACGTCCTTGATGGGTACTGCTTCAGGCCATCGTGTGAAACGATCAATGCAGGTTAAAATATAGGTATATCCATGGGATTCCGGAAAGGGTCCAATCAAATATATATTGACGTGTTCAAAACGAGCGTCAGGGAGAAGAAAGGTGCCAAGTGGGCTTTTGATGTGTCCTATTAACTTGCACTTTTGACGAGCTAAGCAGGTTTGTGCCCATTCCCTTACTTCTTTATTAATACCAGGCCAACAAAACCGACTAGTTACGAGCTTGACCGTAGTTCGAATACCTGGGTGAGATAAGCCATGCAACGTATTGAAGACGTTACGGCGATAACTTTTAGGCACGATGGGGCGAGGAGTACTCGTGGAAATGTCGCATAGAATAGTATCTCTCCCCATACCTGAGGGTTTCTCAACTAATTGTAGAGTTGTTTTCCACAACTCATGTTGAAGCTCGGTATCTTATTTTTGAAGACGAGCCAGTTTTACATGGTCTATGCCGTCAAATTGGGTGAGGGAACAAATGCGCGACTATGCATCTGACACAGTGTTGTTCACTCCGGATACATGGAGAATATCTGATGTAAACTGTGAAACGTAATCTAGTTGTCGTGATTCCCTGGGTGAATACTTATCTGAAGGTGAGTTCAGAGAGTACGTCAGAGGTTTGTGATCAGTAATAATTATGAATTCACGACCCTCCACTTAATGCAGAAAATGACGTATAGCACAATACAAAGCCAGAAGTTCTCTGACGAATGTGCTTTACTTCGTTTCAGCTAATTGAAGGCGCCTGGAGAAAAAGGCGAGTGGTTGCCACTATTTGTTAACCAGCCGTGGTAGAACTGCGCCGATTGCAGTGTTTGATGCATCAACCGAGATACTTAACGGTGCCGTCGGATCGTCATACAACAGAAGTGTGGCATCCGCAATAGCTTTTTTAACCTGAGTAAAAGCATTTCAAGCAAACGTGTCAAGCTCGATGGATTTGTTATTCCCTCGAAGAGGGTCTGTCAGTGGCACAATTAGGAATAGACCGCCGGTAATAACTTACCAAGCCACTGAAAGTGCGCAGACTTTTCACTGTCTGTGGCTCTGAAAAGCTCAGTATCACCTAAACGTTACTAGCAAGTGGACGAATGCCCTTGCAGTCAATAGTGTGATTCAGGAAGTCGAGTGAGTCAACACCGATTTGACACTTTTGAACATTGATGGTAACACCATGTTGGCGTGACCTTTCAAATGCCAAGTCCAAGTGCCTAAGGTGAGTTTCCTTGTCCGGACTGGTAATCAGGCAGTCAGAAGACAAATTTCGCGAGATGATATCATTTCGTAGTTTCTTAACAACCGCTTTACAACTAACATGGTTAACAATGATAAAATAAAGTTCATGAAAATTACTCAGTTAAATAAAAACAAAAGTACATACTAATGACCAATCATATAAAGATAGGTCATGCAGTCCAGGGTAGGCGAAGATTGAAGTCTATTGATTTTATCAAAGGGACTAATTGTTTTAATCAGGCAGTCGTCTAAGTATGCGTTTACAAAGTCGAGACCGCGAAATACTTCGTCAATGAAGCGCTGGAATGTTTGGGCTGCATTCCGGAGACCGAATGGCATACGTAGAAATTCAAAAAGTCCAAAAGGGATATCTTCTTTTGCCATCAGGATTTGGTTATAAGCTTTAACAAAGTCGATTTTAGAGAATATAGCCACGCCAGATAAGGCTGCCGTTAAGTCGTGAACATGAGGCAACGGGTAGCAATCAGGGGTTGTATTGGCATTCACTCTCCAGCAATCACCGGTGGGTCGCCAATCGTTGCTATCCTTTTTCGGAACCATATGAAGTGAGGATGCCCATGGGCTATTCGAAGGTCGAATGATGCCAAGGGTAAACATATGGTCAAATTCACCCCTAGAGATTCTCAGTTTGTCAGGAGCCAGTCGTCGTGCTTTAGATGTCACAGGTTGTCCTGTGGTAATGATGTGGTGCATAACATTGCTGGTTATGCACGGTAGGTCGTTCGACGGGCAATTAAACCGTTAATGCCCAGCTATTGCTACGCTGGTCCTTACGCTGTCCCTCGAAGATTTTCAGGAACGCTTAGTATTAACCGACGCAAAAACCAAAACACTGTTTGTCGACTCAAGAATTCTTTATTCTAACACCAACATATAACCAGCAATACTGGCATTACAGACAAAGGTCTAAGAACAAATATTACCACAATACTTCACGATATTACTTCTGACAGTTTTTTGATCTTCTTTCTGAACAGCGTCCGATGAGACGATGACTGGTGTATTGATGCCTCCACGTAGATATGGGGAAGTTGGGTTTGAGCAAACAAACATGAATTGATCGTTCAATCTTCAACTACATTGACAGGGACTTCTGACGATGGTAGAAGGAATTAGAAGGCATGTTTGACCTTAGTATCTGCTGGATGAAGTTGCATAACTCTATCACCGCAGTGTCCTTACTCAAAGTCTGTTTGGTCACTGAGCATATTTCAGGAACTGACCGTTTAGTTATTTCTAGAATTTTATCTGCAGAAACAGCTAATTCGTCTATAATAATACCCTGAATTGTCACCAGCACAGTCTGTACGGACTGTGGCAGTTTGGATAAGAAGAGTTCTCTGAAAAGTCCCTCATCGAACTGACTTTGGCCAATAGCCTCTCTCATTCTTGCTGGAATGCTTACGGCTGACTAATCCCATAACTCGATGTTACGAAATAATTCGTCTAGACGCTGTCGATCCGTGAGAACGTTTCTCCTTAGGAGGGATGCTTTGAGCAACTCGTAAGAGTTACTGCACAGTTACGCACTTGCTGAATTCCCGCTGTAGGGCGTGAATAACTGCAAGTAACTGTGAACGTTGACCGGTTACCTCACGCTCACAAAAATCTGCTTCAGCTATCTGAAACAACGTTTCAGCATCATCTGGCCAGTGTGGTACGACCTAATTGTTTTTAGGAGTTGAGCAAATACGAATGATCTTGGGACTAGGATCATTCATGGCGAAAAGTACAGTACAAGACAGTACAAGAACAAATACAAAAGGGAACGAAATCACCAAGTTTATCTGCATATTTAGCGAAGATGAGGTTAGCGGTTGGGCTCACCAGTTTATAGGCTGACGGTATTGACGTTCGCGAATTGTACGGAGTATACTGACGCAAGATCTTATACCAACAACTTCTATAGTATTCGTTTCTCGTGGACCAAAGGCAAAACAAAACAAGTGAATTGGTTGTCCAAATTACGAGATATATTTCGGGACCAAAACGGATTGCGAGTTGATTGCTTAATTGGCTAGTGATCGTGCACGAACGTGACACAACGGAGTGCCAAATGGTATGGATGCTTGACCGGAAGCCTTCAGCTAAACAAGTCAACTTAAACAGTGAGAGTCAGCATTCAATGTTCAGTGATGATCGCTGTGGTCAAAAGTTCGGGGAATCATTTACCACTACGTATTCTTTCTCATTATCTTTCCCCACTTCGTTCATTTCATACATAGATTATTTCACGATAAACTATTTCACCACATTCTTATCACCTTTTTAATTCATACTTTCCGTACCTGACAATCAGAAAATCCGTTTAACAACCCTGAACTAGTTTGTCAGTTTTCCTTCTCCACGAGGTGTGAATCTATTAGAGTAGTCATCATCATTATCTCCCATTTCACAATATTTTGTGAATTCATCACATAAATACTATTTATTTTGTAACCATATAATATATCTTTAATTTTACTTATGATTGGCTATTATTGTAATTAGGGGTTAGAACCAAATTCATCAATTAAGCTGTACATTCGTGTATATATAGTGTAGGAATAAGCTTGTGGTGGACCTTTTACTCTGTTAGCTTAGTTACCCAAATTCAAATGGAAAATAAAGTACCAAATCAGTTTAGTTACGGG